ATCTTACAGTGTTGTGTGTTCATTTATTTCTTTATAGATTCCACACAGTCTGAAATTAATTTCATTGATGATTTAAATACTTTAGACTTGTCCCCTTTGATGAGGCTGTAAGTATCTAGAAAGCAGGGTCTTTGGTTTTAGGTATTCTCATCAACTATCACAGTGTTTGGCACCAGTTCAGTACAAAATAAATATTTGCTGAATAAGTGAATGAGTGAAATGAAGAATTTGGGTATGACTGGAGCACTGAGACTGTGTGTATTTTCTTGAACAGGAATGTGGTAAATTATAAAAACATCTAGAAGTTCTTCTAGGGGGGCGTGGGTGGCTCCGTCGATTAAGCATCTGACTCTTGATTTTGGCTCAGGTCATGATCTCAGGGTCATGGGATCCAACCCTGCATCGGGCTCCCTGCCCAGCATGGAGTCTGTTTGTCCTCTCCCTCCGCTCCCCTCCCTCTACCCCCACAGTGCTCTCTCTTTAAAAAATTAAGTAAACTCTTAAAAAAAAAAAAAAAAAGAGAGACAATCTTCTAGAACCTTTTTGGGAAAAAAAATTTGCATGATGGCAGGTGAGGAAGTTATGCTAGAAGGTGAGTTGAGGCTAAATCCTGGAGGTTTTGAATGTCGTAGTACATAGTTTCTGGAATCTCTTTTGTGGTCAATGGATAGCTATTGAAGGTTTCTAAATCGTCCATGTGTCCTTGTGAAATGTTTCTTTATTACTTGCTATGGAAAACCACTAGGGTGTCAGAAGAATTTCATTCACTCACCAGTGGACAGAATAACTTGGGAATGTCAGCAGGGTGTTGATTTAATCAGCATTCACCTCTTTTTCCGTGCAGTTTGACTGCCACGTACAGTCCTGCTTCTGGTTTGGCAGGAGAAAATGTTCGCCTTAGTTCTTCACAGCCTGAGATGAAATCACCCAGTGCTTCTTGAAGGCATTTCTGGCCAGTAATTCTCATATGTCGGTGGTTTGGTTGGCTCCCTTCAAAATTTGATACCATCTTGTCAAATCATTCCCCTTTTCTCAGTTGCTCTTTATTTTGCAATGTATTTTTCTAATGTATAGAGTTACCCTCTCATGTGGTTTATCTCATTTTGGTCTTTTTTTTTTTTTTTTTTTTTTTTTAGGATTTATTTATTTGTTTGACAGAGAGAGAGATCACAAGTAGGCAGAGAGAGGGGGGAAGCAGGCTCCCCGCTGAGCAGAGAACTCGATGTGGACTCGATCCCAGGACCCTGAGAGCATGACCTGAACTGAAGGCAGAGGCTTAACCCACTGAGCCACCCAGGCGCCCCTATTTTATTTTGGTCTTAAAGGAAGTCCAGTGAGGAGCCTTCCAGGACAGTTTGCTTTTTGTTTGTGTCAAAGAAGTGGTGGGTTAGCTGAAAACTAGTACTTACAAGGCCTTATAATAATCTCCATCCCAAAATATGGCATTATATGCAGCATACACGTGTTTACCCGGACTTTTCCTACCACTTCAAATGTGTATATCTGATTTCTCAAATAGAGTACAAAGATATCAAGATTCTAGTTAAGATAATGGCTTCTTTTATAGACATTGGCAGCCAGTTCCAGTTTCCTGAACTGGTTTACAATGATTTAAAAACCATGGCCAGTTCATGAATAAGTTTTATGGTTTAGCTTTAAGTATGGAATCTTATTATTTATATTGAGGAAGATGATATGATGCTCAATACTGGGTTATAAATGGGGAAAACAAAGAAAATGAATGGGGAAAACATCAAATGTGCCAAAACAAAACAAACAACTATGATAAAATTTAAGAAAAGGAACTAACTTGTCAGTGGTGGCTGGCAATTTTCAGAGCTATGAAACACTCTTTGTTGGTAACCATTATTGCAAGATCTCAGTGTGAGTGGTGACTTTGGAGATGTTGTTATTAAACTGACTATCCTTTTCAGCCAGTAGAGCTTCTGAAGCACACTCACATGTAATATACTTTTTGATTTGTGTGTAAAAGATTTATTTGTTAGAATTACTTTTTTCCTCTTTTTTCCCCAGACATATCATAGACATAATCCATATGTAAAGTAGATGGAACACAAACAAGAAAAAGAAGTCATATGGTCCCTATTCTCAGAGAACTCTACTAGAAAAAAACGGATATACTCAGGGAGGTACAATGTACAACAGAGTATGATAAGTGCTCATAGAGGAATAAGGATAAGATGGTATGGCTGTACGTGACTGCGGCTATCATGCTGAGAAAAGATCCCTTAGAGAGGCAGGATTTAGGGTTGGCTTTATGGGATATGTTAGATTTCAATAAGAAAAGACCAAGGGACAGAGGCTCTTAGACTGGTGGAACAGCCTAAGCAAAAGACGAAGGTAGGAAAGTGAAAAAATAAATTTATGTTCTGTCAATTTTAATTAACCAGAGTATATCAGAGTGTATTAGTAACTCCCCTGGACACATAGATTACACCATCATCTTTTTTTCCCCTTTTTAAAAATTAGTTGCATAGGTGGAATTTAGTGATTCATCATTTGCCTATAGTATCCAGGACTCATTATGTCAAGTGCCCTCTTTAATGCTCTCACCCAATTATCCCTTCCTCCCACCAATTTCCCCTCCAGCAACCCTCAGTTTTTTCCTAGAGTTCACTGTCTCTGGTGGTTTGCCTTCCTCTCCAGTTTTCATGTTATTTTATTTTCTCCTTCCCTTCCCCTATGTTCATCTGTTTTACTTCTTAAGTTCCACATGGGTGAAATTATATAGTATTTGTCTTTCTCTGACTGACTTATTTCACTTAGCACAATACCCTCTAGTTTCATCTATATTGTTGCAAATGTGAAGATTTCATTCCTTTTGATGGCTGAGTAATATTCCTGTGTGTACTGAGTGCCCAAGACCCCTGTGTGTGTGTGTGTGTGTGTGTGTGTGTGCGCATGCGTATGTGTGTATGTGTATACCACATCTTCTTTTTCCATTCATCTTATACCATCATTATTTACATCTTTGAAATGGATGGATCAAATTGTATTCTGTTGTTTATTTTTAAGGATTTTAGTGATTTCTGAAGCACATTTATATATATTACACAATTAAAACCTTCTGAAATCCTATATAGTAGATAGTAGTGTGGGGTTTTTAATGAGCATTTTTTTCCTTTAAGGATAACTGAGTCAGGGGCACCTGGGTGGCTCATTGGGTTAAGCCTCTGCCTTTGGCTCAGATCATGATCTCAGGGTCCTGGGATCGAGCCCCACATCGGGTCTCTGCTAAGCGGGGAGCCTGCTTATCCCTCTCTCTGCCTACTTGTGATCTTTGTCAAATAAATAAAAATCTTTAAAAAAAGGATAACTGAGTCATAAATTTTTAAATGATTTTTTCAGGTTTATTTGGTAAGTGTAGACACATATCTAATTTAGAGCCTATTGTTTTTCTTCTATACCTATATACTCAATACTATAGATGTCCACACAGTTCATATTTAGTGAATAAGAAGTTGAAAATGTAAATTAAGAAAGAAACCACATCCAAAATTCATGATTTTAACAGCCAAAGTCATTCTGGGAACATAGAATTGAGGACAAAGGTAAAAATGGCACGGGCAGTTGACAAGGCAAAAACTTAATGGAAGGAAGGCCAGTAGCTAAGGGTATACAAATTCAAAGGGAAGGTTTTACTATTACTAAACAAAGTTAAGGATTTCAGGTCTTAAAATAGGGCAGTATGGTGAGGGTTAAGATTATTTATATAACACAAAATGGCAATAACTGGGGTCTTGGGCACTCAGTACTTCTATTCCTTATTAATACCTGACTGGCAAGACTGTCAAAAACAGACTCCGTTGAATCAGATATGCTGTTCCATGATTTTATGTTAACTTCTTAATGACAATGAGTTTTCATGTCTTCATACTGCAAAATAGATCAAACATAATTTGGAATTTACCATGAGAAAGATTGCCAACATGAATATTCACTTTTCTGATATGGAGCAAAGAGAACTGTCTGTATACATTCTCTATATCTAAAGCATAGAGAAAAATGTCTTAACTCGGGTTAATTCAATTCTATTTTGTTAAAGAATGCATCGTTGCCTTACACAGAGTACAATGTATTGTGTGGTTTAGGAGAAGATTTTGTACTGTCTGTGTAGTGGTTACTAAAATTTCTTCCTTTTGTGTTGATGAGAATCAAAGTTGTAAGACTGGAATCAGGTATTTCAAAGGAATGTGGTAAAGCATTTTATGTGCCGTATTCAGCATTTCTTACACATTGGAACAGTTTACTCCTTTTAATTCTGTATTCTTGGGCACCTCGGTGGCTCAGTGGGTTAAAGCCTCTACCTTTGGCTCAGGTCATGATCTCGGAGTCCTGGGATGGAGTCCCACATCAGGCTCTCTGCTCAGCAGGGAGCCTGCTTCCCCCTCTCTCTCTCTGCCTGCCTCTCTGCCTACTTGGGATCTCTCTCTCTATCTGTCAAATAGATAAATAAAATATTTTTAAAAATCATAATTCTGTATTCTTCACATTCTAAAGCCCAGTAAATTTGGTGGAGTGGGAGGTAGACTCATTCCCATCCTTTGGAAATGCATAGGTTTGTTTATGCCCCATTTTCAAGATTAAAGGCAAAAGGAACAAAGAGAAAAGAGAAAATAAAAGATAAAAATGTCAAAAACATGAATTAGAGACGACACAGCATTGGCAGCTTTTTATTGTGACCATGAAGCAAACAGAAGTACAAAGATTCAGCTTGCCAGAAAGGCAGGTGGCTCAGTCCCAGTGGGTAAAGAATGAACTTGGAGTAGAGCACATATAGCTATTTTCATCAAAGCCTGAATAGCCACATATCATTTTAGGAGCCCTGTTCGTTAACCTCCCACTTTATAGTATAGAGATTGCGTACAGTGAATATGAACTGGAAGCTGGCCCTGCCGCTTTAGCCGTTAATCCTTTGACTGGTACTGAGCCGGGTTAGAAATATTTGCCTTCATGTGGTCCTCTTCTTTTCTCCATAGCTTAACCAGTTGGAAAAGGCAGTGGAAGCAGCCCACACATTTTTCATGGCCAACCCTGAGCACATGGAAATGCAGCAGAACATTGAGAATTACAGAACAATGGCCGGCGTGGAAGCACTCCAGCTTGTAGATCTGGAAGCCAAACCACATCTAGTGAGTGCCGGGGACCCTTGCCCTAATCAGGAAGAGCTAGGTGTTCCTGAGTTTCACTGGACTCCAAGCAGATTCCTGTGAATGGGTGTCTCAGGTTGATTCTCGATTCCTAATACGGTAATGATTTTATTTTTTAGAGTTCTCAGATGAAATATTGTTATTACTGGGGTTGAAAAAATTGAGAGAAGGTGAAAATGCCCTTAAAAAATAGTATGATATAGTGAAAAGTAGAACATGATATAAACATCTGTCATCCCCTCTAAACCTCAGTGCCACCTCCAACCTTTAATTTTACACATGGGAGTTGAAGCCAGTACGAACTACTCAGGTCACACTGTGATTTCCCAGCTCTCTGCCCATTGGTTTTCTATTGTACCCGTACTTTTCAAATTCTGGTATTTTAAAGCTATATAATTTTTCACTTAAATGAAAGCTTACTTGAAATCACAATAAGCTGGGAAGGCTTTTTTTTTTTTTTTTTCAATTGGAGATGTCACCATTCTTGACATGTGACTTCCAAGGTGGTTGAAGAACAGGATAAGAGATTTTCAACTGAAGCATTATTATTATTATTATTATTAAATTGGGCCAGGCCTGGAAATTGGGTGTGTCATGGTCACCCACATCAATCTACTGAATGTTGTTGCATGCCCATACCTATATTCAGATGGGGTTACAAAATGGTGTCTTGCATGTTTGTGCTCAGGAAGAATATGAAATTGATTGGTGCCACGGTATTCACCTTGCTCAATAACACCATTCTTATTTATAATTTCCTGAAACCAGGGAAGTTACTTTTTGTCTCCCAATAAAACCCTCCTTATTCTTCCATAGCCCAAGAACCCAGTGTCCCCCTGCCCAAATGATCCTGATTGACCATGAATCCTGTTATTCAAGTGCTCCACAGGTGCTCTTTGGAAAAAATAAATACGTGTGTGTGTGTGTGTGTGTGTGTAATTTTTTTTCCTGCTTCTTTGCAGGAGAGTTACAGTGCAGGAGTTAAACATTATGAGGCTGATGACTTTGAGCTTGCAATCAAGTACTTTGAGCAAGCTTTAAGAGAATATTTCAGTGAAGATACGGAGTGCAGAGCCCTGTGCGAGGGGCCTCAGAGATTTGAAGAGTACGAGTACTTAGGGTACAAAGCTGGTCTCTATGAAGCCATTGCAGGTACAGCTTATTTTTTTCCCTTATTTACTTCCTGATTATAGATAATGCAGTCTGTAAAACTACTCCATCAATACGGAAGTATAAATTGTAAAAAATGAAAGATATAGTAACCTATCCTACCTAGTTTAAATTTTGGTGACTGTGCTCCCAAACTTGTTCAGATGCATATGTAAATGTTTCTGTATTTATTTATAATTATTATTATTTTTTTAAAAAATAAGACAATACTGTGAATACTGATTTTGAGCATATTTTTGTTTTCGTTTTATTTTATGCTTAGCAATATAGTGTGGACTTCTTCTCATGTAAGTAGTACGTGTGGATCTACCTTATGGTATTGAATGGTTGTGCAATATTCCAATATATGTGGAAAACATAATTAATTTGACCAGTCCCCTTACTGACGAATATTGGGAAGTTAAAGGTTTTCATTATTACAAACAATGTAGTAGTGAATGCTTTTGTATAGTTTTCTTCAGTTACTTAAAAGAGGTTTTTATTATCTATGAGAATGTAATATATTACAAAGCGGCATGTAAAATAGTAGGTAATGTGAATTATACATTTATTGCAGAGATTAGCTAGTTAACCATTTATGGTGGGAAGCATTTGAAAAACATACAAAAATAAATTCTATTTATGTTAATAATATAGGTGTGAAAATAAAACTGTTAGAAGAAAATGCAAGAGGAGCGGCTGTGTGGTTCAGTTGGTAAAGCATCTGACTTGTGATTTTGGCTCAGAGCATGGTCTCAGCAGGGAATCTGCTTGAGGATTCTCTCCCTCCCTCTGCCCTTCTCCCTACCCGTGCATGCACTTACGTTCATGCTTTCTCTCTGTCTTTAAAATAAATGAATAAATCTTTAAAAAAAGAAGCAAATGCAAGAGAATATGTGTATAATGGAAGGAGAGGAAAACCAGTTCTTAGCATGACAAAAGACAAGATATATGAAGACAAAGATAGACTTTACATAAGATTTTAAATACAAAAAATACAATAAATCAAGCTGAATTACAAATGACAAGTGGAAAAGTTGCAAAATATTTATAGACAAACAGTTAATATCTATAATATTTAAGCAGAACGTGTAAATTATTGTTATTAGTAGTAATTTATTTCTGATTTATGGATAGTCATAATAATGAGCAACATTTACATAGCAATTACAATATTCAAAGCATTTTATATATTTATGTACCCTTTAATCCTCTAAACAACTTCTGGTAGGTAGATGGTAGTGGTATCTACCATCTTCTCCCTTTTTTAAATGAGGAACTTATACCTCAGAGCAATGGGATTAAGGTGAAGCTGGGAATCAAATCTAGGCTTTTCTCAGTCTAGGGCACATATTTTAAGGTCTACATAAATGAAAAATGGACAAAGGATAACCTATTCAGTAATGAATGTTTAACAAATATCTGTTGAGTACATATTGTGTTCTAAGTTATAAATATGTATTTTAAAAAACGATGTTCAGCTTCACCTATACATGTAGAAAGGCAAATTAAGGAAGTGAGTTTGCTCTTCCCAAATGCCAGTGTTTTTGGTCTCCATGAAAAGGACCCCTCACCCAGCAGTTCAAACTAAGTCCCCAAAAGTTATTTCCCTTAATTCCTTATTTAGATTCCTCCTAATTCCTATTCTCCTCTATTTATTACCAAACTCTGATAGGTGGTATTTCCTAAAAGCGTGGGAGATTCCCTGATTCTCTCCATCCCTTTTGCTACCACCCTGGTGCATATCCACAGTATATTTTAACAAAGGCACTGTGATAGCCTCCTTGCTGGTCCTTGTGTCCTGATGAGGTTTTACTCTATAGGCAGACAGAATGGTATAAAAAAAAAGAGGAAAATATGTTCACAGAACCTCCCCCCACCATCCCCAGCCAAAGCCTTCCATTGCACTTGGACTAAAACCCAAGACCTTTAATAAAGACATTCATGATTGCGCACTTGTGTATAATTTCATCCCCTCTCTTTCTGTCTCTTTGATCCACTCCTGTGGCATTTCCTGGAAATGCCATGTTCATTTCCACTCACAGACATTGAAAGTTGTTGTTTTCCTCTATCACTTGCCTAATGTCTTATCTTGTTAAGTGCTTAATCCTCAGCCCCTTAGTATATTGACTGGCCAACAGTAGGTGCTTAGTAAATATTCATTAAATGAATGAGTGGAAGGAAAAAAAAAGAAGAGAAGGAAGGAAGGAAGGAAGGAAGGAAGGAAGGGAGGGAAAGGGAGGAAGGGAGGAAGGGAGAGAAAGGAAGGAGGAAGGAAATGACATAACCATCAATCACATTTCAGATTAAAAGGATTAATAATACTGTATGTTTTGAAAATGTAGGTCATAAGTTGTCAGGGTCTTTGAGAGGGACAATTGGGAAACATCTTTCAAAATTTAGATTAAGCAGTAGACTGAAAATCAGTTTGTTGGATGAACTATTTGCCTCATAGTCAATTACCCAAAATCAACTCAGTTCATCTAAAATCAGTACCAGTATCTGAATTATTGAGGATTTTTCCCCCCAGGTTTTGTTTTGCTAAGCCTCTGGCACAGTATTTCCTTGCATTTTTGTGAGTTCTGCTCATTCTAATGTCAGTTTTATGTGTGTTTCACATTTCAATTGTTAAGTATTTGTTTACACTTACTCTTTTATTTGGGAATGCTTTTCATTTATTAGAGTTTATTACCTTGTAGCTGTATAAGGATGTGTGCCCTGTCTCCACCTCCTCCAGACTTGCCTCCATCAATGGGCACTGAACAGCTTTGGCAAAGGTCCTACATCTGATTTAGGAAAACTGACAGACAGATTCCCACAGAACAACGTGTAATGGTTTACATGAGGTCATCATAACATGTTGGTTGCTGGAAAAGAATAGAGATCTCTTAACTCAGGCTCTTAATACTTAGTACTTAATACAACTATCACCACCATTACCCCCGCTTCCAGTAAAGAAAAGTGATTTTAAAAATGTCACGGCTCTTGACACTCAGTCAAATATTATATATTACAGAAATATGGCAAGTCTTCTCGAGAATTCAACACATGTTCAATTTATTATGAGAAGGGAATTTTAAACAGTATTCCCACAGAAGTGTCTTGGATCTCAAATGTATTAAATCATAGTAATTGCACAATAACACTTGATATAGAAAGGAGACAAGAAACACAACTTATGTGTTATCCTATCTCTGTGAATTCTTGTCTGGTTCAAAACTGTTCTACGGGGCGCCTGGGTGGCTCAGTCAGTTAAGCATCTGCCCTTGAGCTCAGGTCTTGATCCCAGGGTCCTGGGATCTAGCCCCAAGGCCATCTCCCTGCTCAGTGGGGAGCCTGCTTCTCCCTCTCCCTCTGCTCCCCATCCTGCTTGTGCTCTGTCAAATAAATAAATAGAATCTTCTTTAAAAAAAAAAAACTGTTCTAAATTAGAAGTGAAACTGGCTTTTAAAATACAGAATGGCGGGGGCACATAGGTGGTTCAGTCATTAAGTGTCTGTCTTGGGCTCAGGTCACGATCCCAGGGTCCTAGGATGGAGTCTTGCATTAGGCCCCTTGCTCAGCAGAGAGCCTGCTTCTCCTTCTGCCTGCTACTCCCTTTAACTTGTGTTCTCTCTCTGTCTCTGACAAATAAATAAATAAATAAAATATTTTTAAAAATAATAAATGAAATACGGAGTATATTTAGGAAACCAGAATATTTTAATTTTAGAGTTAGAAGAACATTAAAAACACAAATGGCTTCTCAATGTAGTTATTTATTTCCAGGCATGCTTGTTAAAGCCCTAAGGAATATAATTTTGTGACTCTCATTTTGTTTTTCTTTGTATGTTGTGTTGAAAAATAACCTTCCTTCAGATTTTGGGTTCTTACTGGGTGTGTTTTCCACCTCTTCCTTTTGCTTGTCATTTGGAATTAGGAGGAGTGTATGTTAGAAGGTAAAGAGGAATGCCAGTGGCCAGCTAACCAGGAGAAAACAGTTGAAGGTTGTTTGTCATTTTCATAAGAAATAAAACAGCTATTTGTTGGCTATTTATATAGCTGTTTATTTCTACATACTACACAAGTAAACAGAGCTTATTCTTCCCTTCCCATCCTCCTGCTGTATTTAAGAACCAGTGGATTGTAGGGATTATGTTAGCTGTTCTGTGTTGGGTTGAGTTAGGTTGTGCAAGAACTGGCCCATTTGCCTACACACAAGAATAGACACACGCCCTTTCTGTTGTGCTTTAGGGTCCCTCTTCAAGTCATCAAGAGACAAGCCAAACTGCCCAACAGAGAAACTTTGAGAGGTTCTCTGTTGAGAGGAGGCAGTTGTGGTAAATTAAAATGTGAAGTCATGAAGTCAGACGATTTTATCATCAGTCTCAAGAGAGCCTGCTCTGCACAAGCATGAATAAAATCTCCTTTCTGGAGAAGACCTCCATCTTCATTATAAAAATCAAAGTTGGGGCAAATGTAAGAAGTGTTTGTTTCTCTGGGACATTAGCTACTTTCGTTTCCTCAGCCCATGTGTGGATGAGTGAGAGCCCAGAGCTAAAGGGAGTGTGACAACCCTACACTTGAGAATCCTTAGCTGTTTACAGCAAGAAGGATGGGACACAGAAAGGGGAACAAAGAGAAAGAGGCAGAATGTGTATCTAAAATTTTGAGCTTTCCTCCATATCCTATTTTAGCAGTCCCTACAGTATTAGGATTTCCAATGTTCAGGTGGTGGACTATTCTGTAACTGGGTAGAATAGGTTCCTGATCAATATTGGCCACACCCCAATATAACATCTATATACACATACACATATACATGTATGTATATATGTGTGTGTGTGTATGTGTGTGTGAGAGAGAGAGAGAGAGAGAGTATGTGTGTGTGTGTGTGTATGGCACGCCAGTGAGCGGAAGGGACCCACCTCTTACTCTTGTCTTCCAGATCACTATATGCAGGTGCTGGTCTGTCAGCACGAATGCGTGAGGGAACTCGCCACTCGCCCTGGCCGCCTCTCTCCGATTGAGAACTTTCTTCCCCTTCATTATGACTACCTACAGTTTGCCTACTATCGAGGTAAAGCGTGGATCGTCCCGGAAGACCTTTGGGGAAGGGGTGTCATTCATCATTACAGACATTGAATTTTCCTCTGTATTTCCCACTTTACCATTGAGGCAATGTGGGTTTATGGCTTTTTTTCTCTCATCTCACATCACCGCCACTCAGGCCAAAGAGAGCACTTGTGAAACCACAAGTGGGCAAATGCTGTGATGATGTCCTGAAAATTTTCTTAGACTGACATTTTATGTGATTTTCAATTTAATGTTGAAAGGTCATATATTTGCAAGTTCAAAGACCAAATATCATAAAAGCCTCCCTCTCTTCCTTTTTTCTGCAGCCCAATTTCATGCCCTACAACCCAGTTTCCGATTTATGCTTTTTTAAAACATATATACACACACCCTAACTTATTTCCCCCTCTCATACACAGAAGGTGGCATATTATTTACACTGATTTTTTACATTGCTTTCTTCACTTAATAATATATATAAGTAAGGAGGGTGTGCCTAGGTGGTGCAGTTGGTTAAGCATCTGGTTCTTGATTTCAGCTTAGGTCATGATCTCAAGGTCCTGAGACGAAGCTCATTGGGTTCTGTGCTGCGCGAAGAGCCTACTTAAGATTATCTCTCTCAATAATAATAATAATAATAATAGTACCAGGGGTGCCTGGCTGGCTCAGTTGGTAGAGCATGCTACTCTTGATCACGGGGTTGTGGGTTCGAGCCCCATGTTGGGTGTACAGATTACTTAAAAATAAAATCATAAAAAATATTTTTTAGTAGGTTGGATCTATGAAATTACCACTTGCTTAGGTCAGTAAAAGCCAAATTTTGGCAATTTTATATGGTCTAACCTAATTGTATTGATACATGGAGATCTTCCTCATTAATTTTTCTTTACATCCGCATGCCATTGTACTGTCATTTATTTTATGTGTCTCCATACTCATGGGTATTGTGTTGTTAGTAACTGTTATTTCAATCAAGGATCAAATGTGTAATATTTTATGTAAGTTAGTTCACATCCACAAGTGAATATCTATAGGATGAGTTTCTGGAAGTACGATTCCTGTGTCAAATCATTCATTCATTTTAAATTTTGATAGATGTTGCCAAATTTTCTTCCATGTATAGTACATTTTTCATTGCTCATCAACAGAATATATTGTGAAATTTTAGATTATTACCGAATCCCACTAGGTGAAAATTTTTATCTCAGTATAGTTTTAATTTCTATTTATCTAATTGAGAAGGTGAGATTGAACATCTTTCCTCACGCTTATAAGCAATTAATAGAATTGGGATTGCTGAAATCGGTTTTAGATGTCATGTGGTCAAACTCAGGACAAAAATAAAATTAACTGCCAAAATTCTGCTCTGCTTATTTGTATTAACTAATGGAAGTTGTCAACAAACATCTTCAGGTGGAAACTTGTAATAATTGATGTAAAACATCTAGCACCAAAGCAGACCAAAGGTAGTACCATTTTAAACACCTGAAATCATGTCCTTCCTTTTGTCTGTGGCTCTTTTGAAGTATGATTAGCACAGAGTGTTGTATTAGTTTCAGGTGTACAACATGATGATTTGACCATCACTCAGGGCTCATTATGATAAACATGGTCACCATCTGTCACCAAACAATGTTATTACAGTCTTACTGTATTCCCTATGCTAAACTTTACAGCTTTTAAGATAAAGACTTATTTATCTTACAACTCGAAGTTTGTACTTCCTCATCCCCTTAATTTCCCCCATCCCCTCACGCACCTCCCCTCTGGCAGCCATCAGTTGTTTCTCCGTATTTGACAATCTGTTTTGGTCTGTGACCATTTCTGCATATGCTGTTCAGCTTCACCTTATCCTCCCTCTTACTCGTGTTTACTGTGGACCTCTCACAGGCATGTTGAAGTATTTCTTACAACCCCCCTAGATGGACCTAGCCTGACTCTAATGCTACAACTCCTTGGTCTTTCAGTTGGTGAATATGTGAAAGCCTTGGAGTGTGCCAAGGCTTATCTTCTCCTCCATCCAGATGATGAGGACGTCCTAGACAATGTAGATTACTATGAGAGTCTCTTGGATGACAGCAGTGACCCAGCATCCATTGAGGCCAGAGAGGTGAGACCAAGGTCCTGGGAAGAAATTGCATTCTGCTAGATGCTCTGGGCAGAATTGGTAAAAATGTAGCACTGCTCTGGAAGATATCTAGCCATTGAGTCAAGGTTCTAGAAAGCAGTTCTTTTGTACTTCAGTATTAACGCCAGAAGCATATTTTTCTCCTACATGACAGCTTGTGAAAATCTATTGAGAAGGAGACTTTTTGTGCAGCTGTGAATATTTTTTTAGCTCACTTGTCACTGTCTATTGAAAAATATTTCCACTTGAACATTTATCATATTTCTTAACTGTTACTTAAATATAAACTTTTCATTCATTTTTTTTTCCTCTAGGATTTGGCAATGTTTGTGAAGCGTCATAAAATGGAATCAGAACTAATAAAATCAGCTGCAGAGGGCCTGGGATTTTCATACACAGAACCGGTAAGAGCAAAGAGGGAAGACGAAATGTGTTTTAAAAGAATACTCAATTGACTTTTTTTTTTTTTTTAAGATTTTATTTATTTATTTGACACAGAGAGAGAGAGAGAGATCCCAAGTAGGCAGAGAGAGAGGAGGAAGCAGGCTCCCTGCTGAGCAGGGAGCCCTATGTGGGGCTCCATCCCAGGACCCTGAGATCATGACCTGAGCCAGAGGCAGAGGCTTAACCCACTGAGCCATCCAGGCACCCCCTCAGTGGACTTCTTATTCATGATTTTATTTCCCAGCTTGATTTACTGAAGATTCTTTTTTTTTTTTTGAAATTCCATTTGCCAATTTTATTTATTTATTAATTTAAATGTTTTAATTATGTTCAGTTAGCCAACATATAGTTTATTGAAGAGTCTTATCTCCTGTGTATTAACAAAACCCAGGGAGGCAGGGGTGGGTGTTTACTCAGTGTATGATAAACATTAAAACACTTTAATAGATCTCCGTATCACTGAGATCCAAAGTCAAAAGCAGATATATTTGTGGGGAAGAGAAATGTTTTGCACCTGTTGCATTTGCCTCAGGATTGTTTCATGTCTTAAATTCTGGATGCAAGCTTTTGTATTTCTCCTACACATTTTAAAGACTAGAAAGACTTCATACAGAACAAAATCAGTGTCACCTGTACTATTCATCATGCTGACTTTTCTCCACTTGTCCATGTTGACTTTTAGTCATTCTTCATGTGAAGATACAACTTTGCCAGTACAGAGAGATTTCTGTTCTGATTTTTATTTAAGTTGTCATAAGCAATTTCTAAATTTTTACAGCTTTTAAGATGATTTTTAGCTATGTAAATAGAATCGATGTGCAATAAATTAACTGTTCTCCTGACACTGGACGTCTGATTTGTTTCTGATTTCTTTCTACCATGTTTAATGCATGAAGCATTTTCCCTCTGTATTGAACTATGCCCTGTGAATAAATTACCAGGAATGGGATTATTCTGCCATAAAAAGACATGAGAAGTTTTAAAGTTCTTGAAATTGCTTTTTTAAGGGAATTTTCTGATACCTTCACTGGTTCTAGAAGTGCATAAAGTACCAGTTTACTATGAATACCTCAGCAATGAGAAATAACATTAAAAATCATTTATATTTCTTATATACAAAATGGTATATCACTGTTGTTTTCATTTGTATTCCTTTGATGGCTAACAAAAACTAACTTTTCACATATTATCATTAATTACTTTTTCTGTGACCTGAATTATCTGGACATGCCTTTTTTCATATATCTGTTAGCTAACTATATAAGTTCTTTACATTTGTACCTGTCACATATTCATAAAAAAGTATTATTTGTAATATATCCTATTTGTAACATTCTTTTCATTACTATCTTATGTTTTTATTGGCATATTTTAAAAATTAGGAAAATTTTTAAGTATACTAATTCTAAATAACGTTTATAGTATGCTTATACCTGGCCTTACTTATCATTCAATGTTTGTAGTATGCTTATACCCAGCCTTACTTATTATTTTTTTAATTGCATTCTCCCAGGAAACTTCAGAAAAATTACTTTATGATCCTGCACAGATAATTAATCAAGCTGGACTTTCTTGTTTGTTTTATTCATGAAACATAAGGGAGTTGGACTGAATGATCTCTTAATTGTCTTCCTGACATCAAATTTTATCCACTTCTTGGATAAAAAATATAAAAACTTAAGCTAATTCCCTTTTATTTTCAAAAATCCATTTGTGCATCATTTTCTCTTTGCCCATGTTTCATTGCCTTTAGGTTTTCTTTTTACTAATTAAAAAAATATTGTATCTTAATACAATATTCAACTTTCCCAATGTTTTAGATCTTTTGAGTGTTTTAAATTTATATTTTCTTTTTATGCATTATATTTTAGTGACAAAGCTATTGATTTTTTTTTTTAATTTAAAACAGAATTATTGGATCCGATACGGTGGACGACAGGATGAGAATCGGTGAGTTCTTCATTCAGAACACAATCCGTTTACTTTTAATGAGAAGAAATACTTAGAGTCATACCCATTATAAGGATCTTAGATCAATGAAATAGGCAAAAAGATATAATTAAATGAATTCTACACTGGGAATTAGAAGCTCAGCCTTCTGGTCCCAGCTCGCTCTTTCTACAGTCATGTGACCTTGGGTTCTTTGTTTTCCTTTCTAGTCTTCTGTGTTCCCTCCAAGGAAGGGGTTTGGATCAGGTGATCTCTGAAGGTGACACCTTCTGTGGATTCTGTTTTTGATTAATAGAATAGAGCTTAGTTTTTTCTTGTTAACGCTGAATTCCCTTACTGTATTTGAAAGCAGGAAGCCCAAAAAGTTTCACTGCAAGCTAAACTACTAGGTGTCATTAACTCAATCAGAAATGAAGAGACTTCAGTTTTTGAAATGATAGAAGTAAAAAATCAATTTACATGTTACAAACAGTTTGAGGAATCATAGAATGTTGAGCTGACTTGGTCTAGCCTGTTAATTTTCCAAATTCAGAAATCAAGTTTCTGACAAGGCAAAGGACTCTTTTGGAGTGTCACCACGAGGGACTGGTAGATGAAAATCTTCCTATTCAAAATCTTGTGGTCTTTCTCTAGGTGGCAAGGCCTCAATCCTGGGTGGTTTAAAATTATTACAAGAGCTCCAAGAGTGGACATGCACAGTTGGATTTGTTCAGTCTGTGTATATTGAAAGGATATCATGCTGTGATTTGTATATTTGCCAAGTTTGAAATTTGTGTCTTCTTTTTTGGAATAGTCGAGAACCACTGCATGAGGTCATGCTTTATTTCAGTTCAGCTATTGTTTGGGGTGTGCTCTCTGCTCGGGACAAAAATAACAACACTCCAAGCATTACAAAGATGCACGTGCTAATATTTTTCTGCTCTTTTGAGACTTAATGTCTAATCTCAAGAAAGGTGAAGTTATGGACACAATTAACTGTCAAGAAAAAAAAGGGTGCTAAGAAGAATAAGGTGCCCTTTGTCTTTGGACATCCTTAATCAGTGGGAAATTCCATTTCAATTATTTTTAATGGGCAGGGTCCCTTCAGGAGTGAACGTGGAAGGGGCAGAAGTTCATGGATTATCAATGGGGAAAAAGTCATCGCCCAAGATAGATCGAGACTTAAGAGAGGGTAAGTATCTGTGCACTTCTGCTTACAGGAGGGAAAGGAGGAGGTAGGACTTGGCTCGTTGTTATTTAAATTAAGGAAGAGTCCACTTTCTCTGGAAACTAAGGAATAGGACTAAGCTACTATATTTTATGACATTCTGAAAGCAAGACTTGAAAACAGTGTCTCAGATTTGTATGTCATCACCTTTGGTTCCCAACAAAAGTGTTTCCAGATTCACTCCCTTATCTGTTGCCCACAGGAGTCCTGTGAACTAGGCAGGGACAGAATGATCAGTTGAGTACCTGAGGCTTGAAGAGGTCGCGGGGTTTCTGTCACCTAGTGAGTGAGTGCCAGACAGTACAGAGTATACTGCACATCAGAGGAACTTGAAGAGACAGGTCACAGGACTATCAGCTGAGTTCATCTACGGTGCTTGAAGCACATATATTCGAGCAGGACTCCGAGTGGTGAGTAGAATTTAGGTTGCATTGACAGCGGTGTGGAGGGAGCCATATTAGTGGATAAAACAATGGAACAAAGGCACAGACATGGAGAGAGCAGAACATGATATACTTACGTCAGATCAAAATTCATAGAAGCACATGTAGAGTGTTGTCAAAGTAGTTTTTAGATAAAGCTAAATGTTATAATTTATAATTTCTCAGGCAAATTTATACACAATTCATTTGAATACTGGAAGCATCTCATATGAGAGAACTGTCCCCACTTTCCAGGCAAGAAAACTGAGGCCCACATAGATACAGTGGCACGTCCAGTGTCTCACAGCTCACAATGGGTTGAGCAGGCATTCGAACCCAGGTTTTTGAATCCAGATCTGATCCCATTTTCCATTACTTAGCTGGAGGTGGAACATAAAAGTGTCTAGAGATCCAAAATGCATCCTTTATTGATTAAATAACAGCAAGATAAGCAGGTTTTAAAAACCTGTGTTGAGAAGTACAGTACTCCTTTTCCCCACAAGATAGTGAGACAGCACATCCCTCCAGCTGATTGGAAAACATCTGGCTCTCCACAGCTCTCACATTTCCCAGCCCTTTCCTTCCTCAGCTTCCAAGTCAGTTTGAGGCAGTAAACAGGATAAAACACTCATCTAATCTGACCTGGCCCCCAGTTTGTAGCCACAAAGCCTAAGCTGTTCTACAAATGCCAGAGAGTTCCATGGTCAGCTAGAGTTCGTGTTGCTTTTTCAGCTGAGAAATCACCCAGGAAGTACGTGCCAGGAAGCCAGCACTTTGCTGTAAAGGTTTGGGAAACTCCAGGATGGTTGCCAAATTTCAAAGCTTCCCTCCCCCTCCGGCTCCCCAGGACTCTGATGTACAGCAGCTGACTAGGAAGGCTAGCATGAAGAGTAGATCAGGAGACTATACCCAGGACGGGGAGAGACCGTGACTGGCTGGGCTACCAAAGTCTATAGAGTAGACTTTTGTCTGTAGAGTTTGCTTAGTTGAATGGGCTACTGAATCTTAGGATGTCCTCTGGGAAAACACTGGAAAGACTTCTGTGGAGTCACTGGAGATTTAAATAGTTTCTAAATTAAGAACAGTGGTAGACAGAGGCAAAGTTCCCAACCAGAAAACACTTTTCTATCTTAGTCTGGCTCCAAGCACATGTCAGGGAGGTAAGAAAGCTTGCGTGCTTCACAGAGTAGACTATATTTCAGCTTTTCTCCTCCTCCACAAAGCGACTGTCGTCTACTTGGTTGCCTGACAGCAATTAGTAGCATTCGCACTGGACGGCTCTGAAGCATTACAGGAGTGGCCCAGGACCATGTCCCAGACAGACTCCAGTCCACGGAATATGCATATCATGAAACTAAGAACACCCATCCCTTACCCATTCTCCTTTCACGTGCCAGTTTCCAAAGGTCCTGCTCCACAATCATCCCCATCAGTATAGTAGAAATGACATTGAACTTGGAATCAGGCATCCCAGTTTCCAGGATTGGTTAGTCTGTTGTGCTGTGGTGTGATGGACACCTAGAGACTTGAGGTCTTTGGGCTCTGTGATCTTCAGCTGTAAAAGAAGGGCAACAACTTTGTGCTGAGTAACAGTGTGAAAAGTCTTCTGTAGACCGTAAAGGGCTGTGCTCACATAAGGTCTGGTTACTTAGCACATCCCTGTTGTGACTTGTAGGACACTGTAATATTTATGGTAAAATGCTGCTTCTTGCCATGTGAGCCACAGGCGGTGAGTACAAAGGAGTATTTTCCTAGATGATCCCTCTTTATTGCAACTGGAGAATCCGAGCCAGGCACATACTTTATGAATGAGAGAAGAATTAAGTTGTTTAGCTAAATCTCCTTGAGCTGTGGTTAGGAGTTGGCTGAAGCCATCAGATCAGGCCCCAGGAACCACAACTTATTGGACCACAGTTTTATTTTTATTTTAATGTTTTTCTCTGTCTGGTGTGCTACTAGTCACACACTACATGTGTGTGTTTCAATGACAGGGTTTGTTTTTCCCCCTCCTCCTCCTCCTCCCCCCCCTCCTCCTCCTCCTCCCTCCTCCTCCTCCTTCTCCCTCTTCCTCCTCCTTCTTCTTCTTCTATTTTTTTTTCCCTTTTGGCTAGTGGGTGGGTAGTTGGTTGTGTCTTGTGAAATGCATGTGTGGGAAGCCTCTGTATAAAAGTCTATGCTCAGTGGTGATTGTGTTAACTACATGAAAGGCAGGTTTCTAGTATGGATTCTGCCTGAAGCTGTGAGTGGGTGGGTAGTTAAGACTCCTTTGTACTCTGTCCCTTCTCCTGATCTTTGTATGTTCCATGTGGCTTGACTAGGAGAACTGGCAATGTCCCTGTAGCCCTTTTAAAATATACTCCTTTACACTTATTAAGATACCACACTTAGAACTTAACATAATAGACCAGGCATATATTCCTATAATACTAAATAATCAACATTGTAATAGCAAATACTTCTACAGAACTTAGGAATGATAGACATTTTTCTAAATGTTTTAGTTTTAGTAACTGTTAAAAGTTGTCTCTTGAAAATCAGGTCATTATATTTAAAGTTCATATACTCTCAAGAGAGGAAAGGAAAAAATATGATATAATACAAACCAACCTGGTTCACTCAACCCTTTATCTGTCATCCATTTCTTTTTGACTTTTATATTAGAAGTGCTTTTCGGTGAACCAACAAGTCGCTTGTCTTTCTTGTTGAAGGAACACCTCTTTTACCTTTCTAAGTGGGAATGGAATATGTGGTTTACTTTTCCAAATATTTGGGAAACTGCCTTAATTTGGCTATGGATCTTATACAGCTACGTAGATTAGAGCAACTTTTCCCAAACAACCTGTGTTTTATGTTAAGAGGTCCTGTTGGAGAGAGGAATGTTCTTCTGGTCTTTTATTGCTGCCAAAATAAATAAATAAATAAATCACAAATGTAGCAGCTTACAATAATATACATTCACTATCCCACATTTTGGGGGGTCAGAAATTTGGGGGTAGCTTGTCAAGGTCCCTTGCTTCACAGTCTGGCACAGGCTTCCCTCAAGTTGTTGATCATCTCTGAGATCTCACTTGACTGGGGAACTATTTTCTTCTAAGCTCAGAAGATAGAATTTGGTTCCTAAAGTCTTAGTGGACAGTGGTCCTCAGTTCCTAGTTGATCACTGGCTGAAGGAGGCCTCCTCATTCCTTGCTGCATGAGTCTGTCTACAATGAAAGCTGAGAAGGCAATAGGCAGACTCTGCCAGCAGGATGGAAGTTGCAGTCTCATGTAATACAGTCACAGAAGTGATGCCGCCTCACCTTTGCCATATTCTGTTGTTAGAAGTGTGTTCCAGTCCCCACTCACACTTGAGAAAAGCAAGTTACGGAAGCCCATGAATCCCAGGAGGCAGTGATCATCAGGGGGCCGTCTTACAGTCTCTCTGCCATAGGAACAAAGGAAGGAAGGAGAGAAGAGGGAAGGGAGGAAGGAAGAAAGGAAGGAGAGAGGAAGGAGGAAGAAGGAAAGAAGGAGGAGGAAGGAAGGTTGGTTTTTGTGCTCAATTAAGGGAGAGAACTGCTTCATGCTATCTTGATAGTCAGGATATTCATGCCTATTTACATATTAAAAGTTCTAAGAAGTCCTCTTAAATTTTATGTAACCTAATACTTCCCAAACATATTTGATCAAGAAACTCCTTTTTTCATCAAAAGCTTTCTGCAGAACAAAGGCTGAGAAACACTGAATTGTGTATGTATGTGTATATATATATATTTTTTTTTCTCTGTTCATCCAAAAGATTGGTACTAAAAAACTATACCTTGTGGTCATATTCCTGGAATCTGAGAAATTCTGTATTTATAGATTTCTTATGACAATCTAAAAAAATTAATAAGGGCAACTAGTGGGTCATGTAAATAACCACCTGATAGCCAAGTCCCACCATGAGACTTCACACTGCAGTGGGTGAGGCTACTAGCCCACTGGCACCCGTTGGTGATACTTTGGTGACTGAAGACTAACAAAATATGAAGCCCAACAAACGTATAAATAATGTATCAGGAGCAGACGAAGGCCCAAAGTTATCATGGTACACTACAACTTCACAGTAATTGCAATCGAGAAAAGTTGCAGTGCAATGAGTCATTACACATCAGAAATACTATAAAGGATGCTGGCTCCAAAGAATCTGGGCCAGATCAGGGAGTAGAACATTCCTGTGGAATGTAGCTTCTTGGTTCCTGCAAAATAACATTAACCATTTCATTAATATTGTTAACTTGAATTTAGTTAGTTTTATGGTCTTGCTTTTATTTAATCTTGTGAATTGCTTTTGGTATTACAGTTATATGAAACTGTAAAGATAAATAAATATGGCACTTACAGTTTTATAATTGTAAGTGTGGAAGCAAAATTGGGATAAAATAATGTGTCAGCACTGCCTCTCCTTAGGGAACTTTTCCTTTAACAGATAACCATATATTATTAAAGATTGGGAGACGCTGTCTTTTTATCTTAATACTCCACTAATGGTGGACTGTAATGAATCTTTCATCATAACTAGAATATTAATAAACGTGGTGCTGTTCCTTAGTTTCACCAATTAATTTTAAGGACTAGAGGGGACATCCATTTCCGTTGGTTTCTTCCTTCTTCACCTGTTGTGCTGTAGGCCCATGTGTTGGGGACCATTGAAGGAGAAGAAGGGAGCAGCTGAGCCCTCCCTGTGCCTCCCTCCCAGGTGGACTCTTGTTTTATTGACAGGCACGTGTCAGGTCCCTTAGGAGTTTATAAAGACCAGAACATTTTTTTTTTCCTTTTCTGTTCAATTTTTTAGCTCAAGCTGGTTGCACTGTGTTACAGCTGAAGATTTCCTTGCCAACAGAAGCTTCAACCTTCAGTTCTGTCCTCTGTGAGGAAAGAGCCTGGTCAGGTCTAGATTTTTGTCATTAACCACCTAAAGCATGACCCCAAATCATCCCCTTCTGAAAAGCCCACATGGGCTAATTTCATGAAGTTGTGGGCCCTATCCAGGGAGAGAGCCAGGGCCTATAGGAAACCTTCCCATGCAAAGAAAGTAATATAAAGATTTGCCCAGAGAACAGAAGAAAATATATATATTCCACAAACAAGACCATTTAGAGTCAATTAGGTGGCAGGAAGGAGACTAGGAAGGAGTTGGTTGGCTTGGGTGTGGCTGTCCTGATGGTGCATTTACCAGCTGAGTTTCTAGTGAAGATATTTCTCTCCATACCAGTGAGACTGCGGTATATATGTCACGTATGGGGGCACAAACATGTGATCAAGTAATGTGATGTTTTAACAGAGTGAGGAGCCAAGTGTTGTGGGGAAGGATGTGTGCAGTTACAAAGAAAATTCTAGAAGTTCTCTGAACATCATCCTGTGAGATTCCTAGTCTGCTTTGCCGGATCATTGCTGGAATCAAATGAAAAGATAGTGTAGCAAACCCACAATACTGTACAAATGTGACACCATTATTGTGATGTTATGGAGAAACCTGGTTGTCAGACATCTGTCTTTTTCCTGAATCCATAGTGTACATAGCAAGATTCCAACGTATCTTTGCATTTTTAAGTATTCATGAGCAAAAGTATTCATGAGCAAACTGATTCTCATGAATTTCACATAGAAAACTGATGGGTGTCCTGTGCTTCCCCCACCTTGGGAGCAGAGGTAACAGAGAAGACGGTATGTTCTGTCTCTTCAGGTGGCCCTCTGCTCTATGAGAACATCACGTTTGTCTATAACTCGGAACAGTTGAATGGGACTCAGCGGGTTCTCCTGGATAACGTCCTGTCAGAGGAACAGTGCCGGGAGCTCCACAGCGTGGCCAGTGTGAGGACCCGGGTGGGAGGGGAGCCTGATGGAGCTGACCTGGTGGGAGCCCTGGAGCTCTCTGGTCCTGGTCTCATTTGGAGTCAGGAAACCAGGCCTGAAATGTCACTTTCTTTAGGACAAGGACATCAGTGTGGGGGGCATTTTCATAGCCTGCATTGGGATGATTTGAATTTTGTCCAGATCTGGACACAACTCCTGGATCTGTAATAGTTAGTGACTTTATACCTAGGACAATAGCCATTCAGCATGTGTTCTGCTACCATATAAAGTCACTGGGAAATCTCTACATTTTAATCAATAATTAACCAATATATTGAACATTGATAGCCTGTTTCTACAAATCTAGTATTTCATGATGAACGTGGAGAGTGAAGTCTAAATGAAGATACCTCTTTGGATGGGAAGAATTAATGATATCAGGATCCTGGTATAAAATAAGGTTGGGTCTGAGCATTGACTGTGGTCCTTAGTTTCCTGGCAGTCAGGGCAAAAAGGGAGAGCTGATGAAGTCATCATTGTCATTAAGAAAGCATCTTCTTGTATTTTGCTTCCAGGGAATCATGCTTGTTGGTGATGGATACAGAGGGAAAACTTCACCCCATACACCCAATGAGAAGTTTGAAGGTGCAACTGTCCTGAAAGCACTCAAAGTAAAGTCGTAGCTTGGGTTTGGGTTCCTAAGAGTCCATCAAATACCTTCTGTGCATGTAGACACAGGAAGCAGGAGAGTCAAGATGGTAGATGTGTCAGGAGAAGTGAAGGGAGAAAGCATGAAATGATATCTCCATGGTTTTAAATCACTCCTTGGTTCCCTTCATTGAGTCATCCACTTACCAAACATTGTAGATCCTAAATTCATATCTGACAAATAATATACAGCCCCCTCTCCTCCCCATCCTCAAGGAGATCCTGGGGCAATGGCAAAAACGTACTGAACCCCATGATGATTCTGCCCCAAACCATGTGTTGTTGGGGAGAAAGGAGTGTTCTCTGAGAGGAGACAAGAGGAAGAGATTAGGTTTCAGTGTTCCCACTGTGATGAGGAAGGATGAATTTCAGTGGCTCATTTTCCTAACCCAAATCCAAGAGCAGCATGAGACTGTATTCCCACTGGTCAGTGCAAACGTGATCCTCTTTAGACTGCCTTACTGGAACCTAGTGCCTGTTTTTTCTCACGCCTTCCGGTCAACCCAGCCCGATCTCATGCTCTTCTTTGTCTTCAGTTTGGTTACGAAGGCCGAGTCCCCCTGAAGAGTGCCCGTCTGTTTTATGACATCAGCGAGAAGGCTCGAAAGATTGTAGAATCCTATTTCATGCTGAACTCAACCCTGTATTTTTCCTATACACACATGGTCTGCCGAACAGCCCTGTCTGGTAAGATTCCAGAGTCTGAACTTTTTCCCTCCTACCCATGGTGAGATGAGAATGGAAACAATGTAAAACAAAGTTCTGTTACATGTTAGACTCATGGTTTTGCAAAGTTGTAAATTCCCCGAACAGAAGCAGCTTGTTCACTTTTTGCTCCCCCTTCCCTCTGTTTCTCCTTGTTTGAGCCCCTCAAGTTCCGGAAGGCCATTGCTTTGCCTGTCTTTCCTTTCACAACCATTTCCCCTACTTGCTTAAAGTCACGTAGAGAAGGACTTTCCTGCTTTAGGTTTCACTTTGCAGGGAACCAGGAACCTGGAAATTACAGTCCCCCATCACACCCTGAAGCGTTAAGTGGTTGCATAGAAGATGAAGGGATTTTTCAAAGAAATGTTCTTAAAAAGGCAGAGACCGCCTCACTTGTGGTTGTCATGATTTCTCTCCTAGATCTTCTCTGCCACGCCCTGGTGAGTGGGAGGGGAAGAAGAATGTCATGGGAGGAGACTGACATGTGAACTTTCAGCTAAATCAATCTTTTCTTTTTACATTTTCATTTCACCCCTCTCCTTCGTCTTTCCTGCATGAAGTCTGACCCATGGAATGCATGGAATTCTTATTTTGTATCTTCATATCAAGAAACTTTCACAGGAGAACAGGCAGGCGTGATTTGTCCCCAGTTTCACACGTTTGCACCAAAGCAGGACCTGTCTCTTGACAGCTTAGTCGGTTCGTTTATCTCTGTGGGTCTCTCCTGTATCTCCTCAAATTCGCAAAGGGCACTAGTGATGGGAGAAGACAGGCTGTCAGCTTGGCTGGCGGAGGTTCCTGCTCTCCTGTCATCTCACCTGTTCCCTTTTCTGGCAGGTCAGCAGGATAGAAGAACGGACCTCAGTCACCCCATCCACGCTGACAACTGCCTGTTGGATCCTGAGGCCAACGAATGCTGGAAGGAGCCTCCTGCGTACACGTTCCGGGACTATAGGTACAAGTATCACCACCTTCACTGATGAAGCTTTTGCTCAACAGTTACCAGCTCTCCATGGAAACTAAAAAACTCATCTGTTTGGCTTCTCATCAGATTCATCTCAATGAAGCAGAGATTCTCAAATAACCTTCCTGAAGCCACAACCAGGAAGGGACTTGGCCATCTCAGATTTTTTTTTTTAATGTTTTTAAATATTTTTAAAGTTTAAAAAGTGTTTAAAGTTTGTAGTTCCTAGTAGGAAAACATTATCTGAATGAATACCCTAATGGCAACAATTGCAGAATGTTTCAGTTGCATGGGGAGCAGAGGGGTAGGGATTCTCTTCACAGCACCCCAGATTTCTTCATGAGAAGGTCGGAGGTACACTGGTTTGTATTATTGCGACATCCATTAGGTGATCGAAGTTGCTTTTCCTTCAGCAAGGGCTTGATTTGTCAGAAGGGCATTATGCTTGACCTCCAAATTTGGCTGACAATTTACTGATGAGATTCATAACCTTTGGGTTGTTCTGATATTTTGACATATTCGCTGGGTTCTGGGACACATCCTGGAAGGCCACCATAACTTCTGGATCCTGCATGGCTGCAAGAACTTCCGGATCACTAAGAATTTCATTGAGCCCAGGCATCCCTGCCATTCCAGGCATCCCCCCCTGCCATTCCAGGCATTCCTCCAGGAAAATTACCAGGCATTCCCCCAGGGAAGCCTCCTGGGAAAGTAGCCATACTGAGCTCCTGATTGTCGTCTGGCTTCTTCCTCCCTCGGGGCTCTCTCATGTTCTTCCCGAGCCTTCTTAACCTTTTCTATTCTTTCTTTGATCTCTCGTTCTTCACGTTTTCGCTCGTATTTTCTCCGACGTTCAGCAATTTTCTGGGCCCTCGGCTGACCTTCTTTCAGCATTGCACTAGCGTCTTCATCATAATCCAGTTTACAAGCAAGGGCAAGGTCATGTGCGGCTTCTTCCCAATGGCCCAGAAGTCTGTGTGCTTTCCCGTGCCACTTACAAGGCTGAGCTGAATCAGGATTTATTTCAAGAGCTCTGTCACAGTCTCAAACGGCAGCATTTGGCTTCTGTACTTTGATGAAGACACTGGCTCTCTTGGCATACAGAATGGCCAAGCGAGAATTTAGTTTGATGGCATCTGTGAACAAGTCAATGGCTTTCTGTAGTTCACCATCATTTAGGGCATCAATGGCAGCCACTTTTCTATCATTTGCCTGATCCATCCTTTCCTCAGTTATCTCTACATTTTCATCTCCCATTTCTTGAGGGGCATCGGTATCTGGTTCAATCGCACCTTCATTGTCAATTCTAGATCACTCTCCTCACTTGACGGTTCATCTGTCTTTATGTTTTCCTCTGCCTTCTTACTATCTGGTTTTTCTTCCTTGATACTGTCTTCTGATTTAGTTTTATGAGTGGTTGGTGGTATTTTACCTCCCACGCTCTCCACCCACTCCCGCAGGAAACACAATTCCTCGGTGTGCAGAACGCTCAGATCCTGCTTACACATTTTCACGAAAGCCTGAAGCTCGCTCACTTTGCGGGTGTCCATGGTGCAGAGGCAGTGGCAGGTGGCAGGCACGGCTGAGGTTGCGACCCGATTCCAGGCGCGGGTACTAGCTCAACATGATCGTGTGGAAGTGGTCATCTCAGATTTTCACCATAAAAATCCAAGCACGTTTTTGTTGTACCTTAATCCATAAAATGCCCATTTTATTTTCCTATTGAAAAGTAGAGTTTCCTTATTTGATCATTTGGCTTTCACTGAAATGTATCCCTCGTGGGACATGTATCTCAGTCTGAGAACCCAAGGGTCTGCTGCCCCAGGGCGCATAGGGGTCTTACAATATCACTCACCTATGTCTGCCTTCTAGAAATAAGAAACTGGAAACTCTGAGGAAAGATTGGATGATGTTCTAGTGTCTAAAGAGAAGTCACCATGTATTTAATTGTGGTTAATTACTGCCATAGAGTGTGCCATACAAAAACATTTATTGAACACCCCCTAGCAAGACCACAGCTCTTGGAGCTTTCTATCTACAAGGGGGGGGGGATACATCCTTTAGAGTTACAAGCATAAGAGGTAAGAGGGAAGAAGAGAATTATAAGTAGCGTGGGCAAGTTCAAAGGAGTAGATTAAATCCAGTTAGGTTTTCTTGGGAAAAAGTGAAATGCGAGATGAAATTTGAAATATCATTAAAATGTTAGCATAAGTGAAACAAGTAAATATGCAGGGGTATGACCCAAACTATATCTGATCTTACGCTTTAGGGTTGGGAGGGTCGGTTATTTCAATGTCCAGTTCAAAGGAAACTTGACCAATCAGGCCGGTCATTTATTACATCTCCAGTATGTTCTGATGAATCTGTTGTGAGCACATAATCGTACAAATGGTTTTCTCTTTTTTCTTATAGTGCTCTCCTGTATATGAATGATGACTTTGAAGGAGGGGAATTCATTTTCACTGAGATGGATGCCAAGACCGTGACGGTAAGTAAAACTATACAGGCAAATTTTTGTGGCATTTCTTCATATCAATCTTGCTGTTTTTCTGAGGATTCAGACTGTTGGATTTCAAATATCTGAGCTTGAGAATTCAAAAGGTGCACAGTTGGCCAGTGAATGTATACATCATAAAATGTTAGAGATGGATTCATCAGTGAAATCTTCCAGTCCATTTTACAGATGGGTAATTTAAAGAATAGGTATATGAAGGATTTGCTCATGATTACATGGCCAGTTAGTGTTAGACTTGAAATCAGAACTTGGGTCTTCTCATTCTTTGTCAGGTAGTCTGATGGAAACACAAGAACACCTATTTCTAAGTTACCCATGCCTAGGACTAGACAAATGGATTCAGTGGGATAGCTTTCAAACAATCTGGTGTTCTCCATGCTTGGATTGAGCATTGCACTCTAGACCACTAGTTATCAAAATTACTGTGTATGTATTTATATGCTTGTGACTGTAAGTAAACCTGTACCTGAAAATTGATTTATACACATTACACACACACACACACACACACACACACACACACACTAAAGATGAGATTCTAAACACAACTCCATAAGTAAAAATCAACAGTTAATTTCAACTAGGCAAACCAATGCCTTTGGAAAACCAGTCTACTGAGTTATAGACCATAGAGCCAGCATCCTTTAGACTTTAAGCCAAAGAGCATACACCAGGGTAGGCAAAGCACGTTTTCCAATTGAGGATATAATTGAAATGTAAATAGATTATGAAATACATCTTTCCTCCATACAAAATCTAAATAGTTGAAGCATGTATCTGATAAACTTTAAGGATTTTGGGTTACACATACTATTTTCACAGCTTTTTCCGAGTATTATGTTTTCCCTCTCCTATTTCGTGTCCTTTTCTTAATAGTGAAATACCCATCTATCATTCATGGCATACCGCTGGGATATAAGCAGATGATATAAAAAATTCTGTACTACTGGCTTTGAAAGAGAACTCTGTGGAGATTCTGGTTAAAATTGTCCAGAAACCTTGGAATAATTAAGAAAAATATTTCATACCATTTCTTGCAATTAAGTGTATCTAAAAAGTTATGATGCCTCTTGGTTTGTTGTGAAAGCTTAAGTATCAACCGTTATTTTAATGCTTCATGATCTGGAAAATTAAATCAGGATTGATGATCTGGGTTGCTTCTAATCCCAACACAAAATTACCATTAAAAAAAAAAAAGTCTCTGTGGAGAAAGCATTTGGTTTCTGAGCTCTTCCAACACTAGAACAGATTTTAAAGTGCTTGCGCTCACACAGTTGGAAAGAAAAAAAAAAAAAAATCATAGGTTGAAAAGATTTCTTTGCTTCTACACCATCTAGTGGCCATATTTGGAAATGCCCAATGTTTGAAAGCAAGTGATGCCTGGAATACCATGTGAGAACAAATAATTCATTAATTGTTGAATGCAAGTTAACTGTAATTCTGCTGTTTAAGGATATGAAAGCATATAATCCTGATCTTCTACATAGCTATATGTTTAAGAGAAAGGTGTAAGTATTTTAAAACGTACTGAATCTCACCCCCCACCACCCCCAAAAATGTAAAAGAAAAATTGATTTAAACAGTATTTTGATTGAAAAGCTCCAAGTTGATAGATTCATTTTTCCCAATTTAGCTCTATTTCAGATTAATACATACAGTGGAGTTTTTAGACCATTTTGTAAATAATAAAAATTCTTAGGTAATCAGTCCTAATGAAAAAGAGAAATGATTAGCTTTACTTTTCAGCTTTCCTTTCTTTGACATAAGGGAAAAATTAAGCAGAGAAATGGCCCAACTTGGGGCTACACAAGGAAAAAAGTCTTCTAAGTACTTTGGAAAAATCTGGGAATTACACAATTCACTGAATGGTGGCTAAAGATTTACATTCATTCAAGACGAATACAGCACAAAGGCTTCTCTGACTTGAATCATCAGGTAGATGGAAAGCGAAAGGAATGTTCCTTTATCATACTTGGAAGATACATAGATTATTTTCAACACCAGCATATTTGTGAAACATAAGTATTTTGGGATTTGGGTTTCCTCTGCAAATTTGGGAGAGGTGAGATTTAATAAGTTCTATTTGCATCACGAAAAATTAAATTCAATATAAACTGTGTTCCAAAAGTATGTTTACAATCATCTAAACTTCAGGACATATTTTCCTGTAAAAGTCATGTCATAAATGAAGCTTGTTTATTCCTTTCCGTGGCTAATGTGTAACAGGTGACGCTCTCCATTTGATAAGATCAGTCACGGAGACTTGCGAACCTATGTACCTCTAATTAATTCCAAATGCTTCAGGCAGCTGATGGTGTCTTCTCTTAAACTTTCCCAAGTTCTTCATGTGTAAAAACTTCTTTCAATTCCTCCTGTTCCATCAGAGATAAGGCATAAAGTTGTCCCCCCCATCCTATCTTTAATACTGTAAAATGTTACTGCTGACCCTTGATGGTAACATAGAAGCAATGACGCCCACATGTGGTAGAGTGGGCCCAGACCAGCACTTGGGAATGAGCCGCCCAGAAAACCAGAAACTAGATCTTAAAGCTGTGTATATGGGAAGGCTTTCCTATCCTACTTCATGTGTTTCAAGTATCATTAATTTTGTTGTTTCTACATGGAAACGTACAACAAATTCCTTCTCCAGGGAAATGAAATCAGATTGATACCAAAGGCACCCGTAAGTAGTGAACTCTTCAGATTTGCATCCGAAAAGTCATCTTGACAAAGCAGCATAAGTAAATCAACTCTCTCCAGCAAAGACAAATCACTTCTCAATTATTGTGAATAGAAGAGTAACCAGAAGGTGACTGCTTTTCTCTGCTCATCTCTCTCTCTCTCTCTCTCACACACACACACACACACACACACACACAGGTTTCAGACTTCTTGACTTCTCCACCTCCCTCCGACCTCCCATGTGTATCTTACAGTCTAGGGGTAACTATGTTAGGCAGCATCCAAGGACCTCATGAAATTTCTAAATATTTCTCCTGAAGCCGGCAGTAAAAACACATAGCCATCCACTTTTATGGTGAAGGAAACCAAAGGTTCTTCTAATGGGTATGTATCAATCCAAGTCAATGCAGAAAATAACTCCTTAAAATAGGCCCATGTCATCAAATGGTAGGAGTTTTGTTTTTTTTTTTCTTTTACTCTACTTTTCTAAGCTCTGCTATGGAATGAGTACCGTTTCTGTGTTTCTCAGAAAATTGAACTCTACTGACATCCGACGCTTTTTTTTTTTAGTCTTTTTAAAAATTAAGTTATAATGTATTATTTGCTTCAAAGATCCAGATCTGTGATTCATCAGTCTTACACAGTTCACAGCACTCTCCATAGCACATACTTTCCCCAGTGTCCATCACCCAGCCACACCATTCCTCCCAGCCCCCTCCCCTCCAGCAACCCTCAGTTTGTTTCCTGAGACCAAGAGTCTCTTATGGTTTGTCTCCTTCTCCAGTTTGATCTTGTTTCATTTTTCCCTCCCTTCCCCTATGATTTTCTATCTTATTTCTCAAAATCCTCAAATCAGTGAGATCATATGATAATTGTCCTTCTAACCCTCTAGTTCCATCCATGTCATTGCAAATGGCAGGATTTCATTTTTTGATGGCTGCATAATATTCCTGTGTGTGTGTGTGTGTGTGTGTGTGTGTGTGTACCACATCTTCTTTATTCGTTCATCTCTCGATGGACATCTGCGTTCTTCCCATAGTTTGGCTATTGCAGACATTTTCTATTATAAACATTCAGGTGCACATGCCCCTTCAGATGACTACCTTTGCATCTTTGGGGTAAGTACCTAGTAGTGTAGTTGCTGGGTCATAGGGTAGCTCTATTTTCAACTTTTTGAGGAACCTCCATGCTGTTTTCCAGAGTGACCGCACCAGCTTGCATTCCCACCAACAGTGTAGGAGGGTTCCCCTTTCTCCGCATCCTTGCCAGCATCTGTCATTTCCTGACTTGTTAATTTTAGCCATTCTGACTGGTGTGAGATGATATCTCATTGTGGTTTTGATTTGTATTTCCCTGATGCCGAGTGATATGGAGCACTTTTTCATGTGTCTGTTGGCCATCTGGATGTCTTCTTTGCAGAAATGCCTGTTCATGTCTTCTGCCCATTTCTTGATTGGATTCTTTGTTCTTTGGGTTTGCGTTGGATAAGTTCTTTATAGATTTTGGATGACATCAGACACTTCTTAAAATACAGATGCCAGGCCCCTTATCTTCTGTTGCTCAGTTCACTCAGTTTGGAGAACCCGCTCATTTGATCGGACACTCTCACTGCCCTCACTCCTCTTCTCTCTCTGCCCTCTTCCCCTGAACATTACTGAGCAGTTTCACCTGAGCACAAGCTTGGAAGGACTGTGTTCATCACTGCAGAGCCTGGAGGCCATGGAATAGGTCCCTCCAAGGAGGAGAGTGAATTCACTGAGCACCAGTGGGCAGGAATACTAGAGTGGGAACTAAAGTATCATATGGCATTAGACTTGACTTTTTAAAAATCTTCGTGTTATGAAAGGCTCACAAACCAGACACGTACAATGGAGGCATGAAAAATGTGCACCCCTGGAGCCACTACCTAGATCAGTAATAGAAGGTACCACCACTCTTGTGCACTCCTTGACTTGTTTTTGTCATTCCCCAGATATCAAATGGGCAGCTGCCATATGCCAGATTCTGTGCTAGAGCTAAAGGCTGGGAAATAAAGTAAAAAGGAGCCTTTGTCTCCATGGAGTTTGTCAGCCATAGGGTCGCCTGTGTTGGGCAGTGACTTTGTGCCCTTGACTATGCCAGCCATTTTACCTGAACACTTTAATGTCTGAATCACACCTTATTCTGAGCTTACCTTTGTTTCACGGGTGAGGAAATTGAACCAACCCATTTCTACTCCAGCCCAGGATTCCATTTTTCTTTGATTCAAAACTTGACCTAAATAATCCCATAGAAGGATGGAGAAAGGGGTCGTAGAGATGCTCCTGATATGGAAAGGAGAGCCTCATTTTCACCTTCTTCCTCAGGCCTCTATCAAACCAAAGTGTGGTCGTATGGTCAGCTTCTCTTCTGGAGGAGAGAACCCGCATGGAGTGAAGGCAGTCACTAAGGGCCAGAGGTGCGCTGTGGCTCTGTGGTTTACCTTGGATCCACTTTACAGAGAATTGGTGAGTGTCTAACCCCCACCCCCCGAAGGCCAAGTAGATGTCCCAAAGACCTGCTTTGTGAACTGATTTATCTGAAAAGTCCATTAATTGTTTCATAACCCTTCAGGGATCTTAGAGATCATAAAATCAATCAAACTATTATAGAGTCCTTTCTTTCTGGTTTCCAACACTGGCTGTGTTTTCTAAGCAAGAACAGATTTTTCATGATGAAGCAATTACACAGCTGTTGTATGTAGTGTGAGTCTGAGAGAAAGAAGAGGGGCTAGGAAGGTAATTCTTGATCAGGGAGGTTCTAATAAGAAAACGTTTGAGGAAATAGTGATGGCAGTCCCTAGTTAGTCTTGAGCTTATTACCAAACTGTGGCATCAAGAGAGGAGAAACACTTTCTGCTGGGCACCAGGAAGACTTACCTATTTTCTCAACAAATCATTAAGACGAGCACTGAGGGGCGCCTGGGTGGCTCAGTTGGTTAAGTGTCTGCCTTCTGCTCCCATCATGATCCCAGGATCCTGTGATCGAGTCCCACATTGGGCTCCTTGCTTTGTGAGGAGCCTGCTTCTCCCTCTCCCTTTGCCGACCACTCCCCCTGCTTGTGCTCACTCTCTCCCTCTCTATCAAATAAATAAATAAATAAATAAATAAAATCTTTTAAAAAATAAATAAAAAATAAAAAGAGCACTGAATAATTTATGAGACATGTGTAGGAGATGGTGAGTCAACCTGAAAAGTTTGTTTTTATTTACTATTGTTAACTTAAACACTGCTTTTAACATATAGTTTTTATTATACTGGAAGTATACTTAACCTGGACCCCATCCTCCTGGATGCCCCCCACCAGAGCTTATGGTCTCTCTCTGTGAGGCTTTAGAGGGAGGAGTTAAGACCAATGGGTGGAAGGAAAATGTTGGCTCAACATAGAAATGACTTAAAAATTGTTGCTACCCTTTGGTGGAGTTGTCTGCCCTGGAAGTAGCGAGTTCCTTGTCCCTCCAGTCAAAGCCTCAGCAACAGCTTGGCATGGGATACTGACACTGAAACTGAAACTTCACGGCAGGGGCTAAACTGGTGTCTTCATCTCCTTCAGCCCCGGGTACTGATGAGTTATGAAAATCTAGTCTTTAAAACAGCATTCGATCTAATTTTCTCTTTGGATACCTAAATTGGATCCAATTTAGTCAGAAACTGTTTAAAATTCATTCCTGTGTCTCATGCATTTTGCCGTCCGATCTAACTCACACAGATTTTAGGTCACATTCTGTGAGCATTCTTTTATGTACTTCACAGATGTTTATGGAAGATCTCTGTGCCTGGGCAACCCTGCTCAGTAGGCCATGGGGGTACCACGGTGACAAAGCACTGTCCCTGACCATGAGGGGCTTGGAGAGGTCCGCAAGGAAGTAGATCTAAGACAGCAGTGCACATTTTGTAGGGAGCATCAAGGAAGACTGACTTGTAGAGGCTCACTCCCTGCTGGGGAGATGATAGCCGCGTGCCCAAAAGGACAAGTGTCCTGGTCCTGACTGGAGGGGCTGGTGGCAGGCAGAACACTCAGTTCTGAGAACTTCAAGAGGCACTGAACAGTCTTCCTCAACTGTGATTCCTTTCTTTCCTTGTGCTTGTCCACTCCGAAACACCAGCACCTCCCCTGCCCCCAGAACTGTGCTCTTGCACCAGGGAATCTAGGCAAATGAGCAGATGGGGAAGACGACAAACTGTTGGAACATCACCACACTCTTTTCTCTCTCTAGTGTTCAATTCAGCAAACATGGAGTCCGTTTCATTACTCAGTATCCCAACACTCTCTTCCAAGATATTTTCCATCATATAAACTTAACACAAAGTAAATTCTCTTGGCTCCTTCCCAATTCAGAGGGTTCGGAAACTTCTCCAGAATCGGGGCAGTAGCGGCATCTAGTGGTCACAGGAGAGAATGACCAGAACCTCTTCAACTACTGGAAAATTGAGCGTATGGGATTCCCAGGCTTCACATTGTGATCAGCAGGGCAGTTTTACAGACTACTGACATCTGTCTCCATCCGCAAACATTCTGGCTAAATTGATAGAGAGTGTGACCTAGGTATGGAGAGCTTTAAAAGCTCCCCAGGTAATTCGAATGTGCAACAAACTTCGGGAGTCCCGAGTTGGGCACCTCTTCTCAGACGGAATCCCTGAGCAAGGAAAGCCTATGAAGGAGTCAGCAGAGCTGGCAGATTTCCCTGCTGGTTATAAGTTGTTTAAAGGTATCAATTCTCAAAGAGTAGTTAGCATTGTAGACTCTGAAGAATGCGCGATATCGGAAGCCTGGAACCTCAAACAACAGGAACTGGTACAAGGGTTGTGAGCATGAACCAGACGGTGGCGTGGTTGGGACCGAAATGCTAGGGGCCCCTCAGAAGCATGGGCGAGCCGGGTGTCAAATGGGGGTACGATCTGGAAGCTGCAGCATTTGGGCTAAGAGCTGGTGACAGCCCAAATCTGCCGTTCTCTAGTGGGACTGATTTTGCCTCCTAGGGTGCATTCGGCAAGGGCTAGAGACGTTTTTGGTTGTCAAGACTTGGAGGGCGGCACTACCAGGTCCCCATAATGGGCAAAGGTCAAGGCTGCTGCTAAACATTCTACTAGGTTTGGGACCGCACCCAACAACAAAGAATTCTCTGGCCCAAAATGTCAGGAGTGCCAAGGTCGAGAAATCCTGCCCTAAACTCGGGCAGCCATAGCGGGCACTGTAAAGGGGGTGGAAACAGGAGGGAGAAGAGACAGGACTTGGTGATTTATCTGGTCCGAGGAGCCATGGCTGGGCTTGGAGGGCAAACGGGTGAGCAGAGGCAGTCTTGACTGAGAGAGAGAATTGGTGAACAGGACCGGCATAGGTGTGTGGGGGAGAAAATGCTGACTCTGGCTGGAATGCTGGATTGGAGCCCTGAGTCAGAGATGCCTGTGGAACCCCAGTGTAGAAAGGGTACTAGTTGGTTGACTACATAAGACTTCCGGGCAAGAGAGAAATCTTGGAAAAGTTACTGCTTAAGACATAAGGAAGTCAGGAGAAGGCACCACTGGGGGGATGGGGATGAGGGTCCTGAACTGGACCTAGCTCCTATCTCTGCACACAAAGATGCCCAGAAGTGTTTGGGAAGCACCTGCTGCTGGGACTGACCATGCTTCCTGTAACAGAAATGTGTCTGTTACCTGTTTTGCAGGAGCGGATACAGGCCGATGAAGTGATCGCCATCCTGGATCAGGAACAAGGAAAGCAGGGACTGAATATCAACCCCAGGGATGAGCTATAAAAACGAGGGAAAGAAAAGTTCTATCAGATATTTATTTAAATTGTTAATCTTATGAGAACCCCTTTATTTTTGTACAGAGCCATGATATAAATTAACAGGTCAATCCGAGTTGCCAGATCCCCCTGCCGTGCCTGCGGATGCCCGCTTTGCCTCACTCAGCCTGTCCGTCTCGGTCTCTCATGGGGTCTTCTGTCCCCATCCCCTCTGCACACACAATGACACACGTGCATGTGCACGTCCTTTGCTATAGATCCGAAAGCTCTGGCAGAAAGAATAAGTTTGTTCTTGGCAATACTACACCTGTCCTGCGTGCTCCGGTTCTAAGGTTAACGTGTGATTGGACTCAGAAGGCTTTCGGGCCCCGTGCCCTTCAGCAACACCCTATCCCAGTATGGGGCCCACAAGCTGGAGTCCAAGGAGCACCCAGCAGGGTCTGCGCTGCCTCGAGTGTCCCTGATCCTCTCGGAAGAGTGCTGCAGGCGATGGAGGGGCCCAGCCTCGCCAGGGCCCTGGTGGAGCCACTGGCCCTGGTATTTTCCCCAGAGAGCAGACTTGCACTGGAAGCTTCGATTCCTCCTCCACAGTGCTCCAGGAAGGACTGCCCTAAGACTTGTGTCTTTAGAAAAGGTTGTTCAGGGGGTTGAAGTAGAATGACTCCTCACCCCCATGCCTTTGGAAGAAAATCTTCAATCCCACCTGAATTGGGACACCATTGACATGTTGCCTGAATGTGGGGCCCATTGGTGAGAAGGGACATTTTGTAAGACAAGTGGATTTCGGACTGATTCCCGTCTTCAGCTTTATGTATTTTGGTGTCCCTTGTCTCAGCTGCTCTCCAGTTCCCAGATTCATGCTTGTGTCTGATTGTTTAATACAGGGAGGCTGATCCTAACACCTGGCATTTAGTTTTCTTCTCCCAAATGTTTGGTGTGTCTTTAGGTAATGGTTTTGTGGCTTTGGGGACAGCCCAGGGACAACGCCGGGCTATGACTCGTTTTGCTGGTGTTTCAGGGCCACAAGGAAAGTGGAAACACTGCTTTGGAAGGCACGGAAATGGTTAGCAGAGGTGTTCCTGCAGAGAACATCTGCTCCCTGCCCAGAATGCTAAGGAAGCCTTGCAAAGACATTATTCAGGGTGGAGCTGGGGTGGCTCCAGTCTTGGGAAGGCTACTAACCAGTGGCAGAGATTACTTGCCTCTGGGAGGGGCACTGGTACATGTAGTCGTTCTTTAGAAAACCATCAGATGTAAACGTTCACTGAAAAATCACATTTATTGGTTGCCTTTTATGACCTTGGTCGATGGCTAAGCACATTCATCCTTTGAGACTGAAAAATTGAGTCAGAGTGAGTTATGTGCCATCTGTTTTCCACCCAACCTTCATTTGGGAGAAGAGAAGGAACGTTAGGTTATAATCCCAACTGAGTCCAGTATGCCCTGCTGTGTGACCTGGAGCTACTGTCTTTCCCTTTCTGGGTTTCAGTTTCCTTTTCTGAAAATGACATACCAGCTTATAATTGTTTCCCAAGCCCTACGGCCTCTTGCTTTAAATACAACACCGAGCCAATAAAAGACACAAACAAAGCCAATTTTAGAAACAGGCACCAATACCACCAAATTTACTTGCGCAAACATTTTGAGATTTGGGAAGGGGTTCCTCCTGCGTCTTTGTGATTTGAAAACTTTAAACCCAATTTTAGGGCTAAAACTCCCCAAGCTTTGGGAAGGCGGATCTCTGTTTGCCGTCTCACGGAGAAGTGTTTGCTGGCACACAGATCTGCTGATAGGAGAATCTGGGCAAGATCTAATTTCTGTTTTCTGGCAACGAGGCATCAACAAAGAAAACAGTCTTTGGCTCCTTGTCGTTCCCGCTTCCTGGGTGCCGTGGGAGCTCCAGGAGAGGCTGGGACTCTGGCACCAAGGTGGGGATTCTGCCCCACAGAAAGTGGAGGCCAGTCTCCAGAGCTGTGTTATGGGTCCGCGTCTCGTGCAATGAGCTGACTGCACAGGGCAGTGATTCCTGTTTTTCAGGCCGCCCGTGGTGTTGTACACCTGGGACACCGAGTATCCACTTTTTGTAAAGACTTTATTTATTTATTTGACAGAGGAGAGAGAGAGATCACAAGCAGGCAGAGAGAGAGGGGAAACAGGCTCCCTGCCGAGCAGAGAGCCTGATGTGGGGCTTGATCTCAGGACTCTGAGATCATGACCTGAGCAAAGGCAGAGGCTTAACCTACTGAGTCACCCAGGTGCCCCTGTACTTTTTTTCTTTTATTAAGATTTTTATTTATTTATCAGATAGAGATCACAAGTAGGCAGAGAGGCAGGCAGAGAGAGAGAGAGAGGGAAGCAGACTCCCTGCTGAGCCGAGAGCCCAATGCGGAGCTCGATCCTAGGACCCCGGGATCATGACCTGAGCCAAAGGCAGAGGCTTTAACCAACTGAGCCACCCAGGAGCCCCCCTGCACTTATTTTTTAATCAGCTCCCCATCCAACCAGACATAATTGTGTTCAGAGAGTTAGGGAGTGTCATAGGAGGACTTGAAGCCGATCTGAGCCAGGGTTGCCAAGTAGAGTTTATGTGAGAATGTTTGGCCCAGGGTGGCGGCCACTAGAGGAAGGGGTGCCTTTTTGATTTGGCCGGAGAAGGTGCTTGTTCCCCAGCCTCTGGACCTGGAGAGGTGGGTCTGTGCAGAAGTGGGGGCCTTTTTCTCATTCACTCAGCAGCACTGTCTGTGCTGCAGACCGCCCCGGCCAAAAGGCCCACTTTCTAGGACCTCAAGGCCAGTCCTCTTCAGCTAAACCACTTGGGGAACTTCCACTTGTCAGATGACCATTGGGTGAAAAGCCTGCAGTTTCACAAAGCTTTTATTTTCGCCCTCTTACTGCTCTGGGTGCTTCTAAGCCAGAGCTTGCTCACACACTAGAACTCGGGAGGGGTTCTGGGTACAGATCCTGAGGCCCACTTTCCAGATGAGGACATGGACAGCAGTGAAAGGAAGTTGTGGCCTGTGGTCACTCAGCTTGGAATGTTTTTGTGTGAGATAGGAATACAGCCCTTTGAACAGGAGGCGGGGTAAGTACGAGGGCTGTTTGCTCCCTTGGCCATGCTTCCAAGCATATTAAATATAAAATAATACATTAATATGAAGATAAAAGTACAATTTTTTAAAAAATCTGAACTTTTGCTCATCTCTCATCTTCCTGCTGAGTGATATGTGAAGGCGTATTTCCCCTTCTCTCCTCAGAGATGTATTGAATACGGGTTGTGTAATTCAATGAGATCAGCCCCACTTTGGAAAAAATTCCATGTGCCAGGCTCTGCCTTCATGAAGCTCACAGAAGGAAAGAGGGTTCTAGTCAGGTGTCTTTTTCCTTTTCCTTCAAAGCAGAGAGAATCGTGAACATAAATTTCTTCTTGAGGAAACACCGACACGGGACAGAGTGATATTCTTGGAATGTGGGGTGCTTTCTTCAGAGCCCTGAATATAGTTTATTTGACAAGTAATTTTAGTTTTAATGCAGTCTCCGTCATTACTGGGCACAAAGCACTTTTTGGCACTTATTCAGTTGAGGAGAAGCCATGGAATGAGTCACTACCATTTAATAATATATACCTGTGAGTTTTAATTGAAGTACAAATGCTGAAATATTTCACATGAGACAGCCACAGGGAACAACTCCCTCACTGACGTCAAGGAAGGAGGTAATGGGGGCCACCTCACCAATTCCTTATGCCAAATAATGAAACATTCTGAGGTGACTGACAGTGGTATGGCTGAGAAGTGGAGAAGAGTTTAACTGTTCCCACATCCAGAACTCCCCAGGGGTACGGGAGCCATTTGGCAAAAACTCTAAACCACAAGTTAGATTCAGGTCCTTGGTTATGATCCCTCTTCCTCCTGCCAAAAAGCCCACGATGTGAAGTGACCTCCCCACCTAGTCCCACAGCCCACCCGCAAATCCCCTACTCCCAGGCAATTTGATGTTTTCAACATGAGACACAGGGCTGTTTTGTTTGGGACCTGGTTGATTTCTTCTGACACACTGAGACATGTAATGTCAACCACTCTTTGAGCTCACTGCTGAGCTGCAGATGCAGAATCATGGGGTCAGACCTTCGCCCTTACCTCCCATCCCTGGAAAACCACCATGTTCTCTGCACCTCCTGCTGACCTGTGAGGCCAAACAACGTCAAGTCTGGAACAATCTGGTTATCTATCTTGGCTTGCTCTGCAGTGGATGGCATCCGCCGTGTAAAAAATTGGCATGGCGGGTCAACTCTCCCTTCAAAACTGTGGTTAAGGGCTCCCAAGAAAAATAACCACGCAAGATGTTCCTGCCCTCTCTTCTCCTGCCACACATTGCTAGGAGGAAAATCTGAATGGTCCTTTCATTGAATATACAACACACCTCTTCTAGCCACTTGATAGGATGTGTACCTCAGAGGAGGGGGAACATAAGGTGACAAGAGCAGAGTCTGAGAAGCTTTCCACTTTATGGGCCCTCCTCGGTCATCTGTTTTGGAGGGGCTACCCACCTGCGTTCTTCATGCTGTCTCCACTTCAACAGTGACCTGGGTATCATCCGTCTATCTGGGAGCTCTTGCCATTGGCCCCTCTTGTCAGATTTAGTTGCTCTCCCCTCTTGATGGTAGTGTGATGGCAGAGGCTTTGGAGACCTGAGCCAGCTTGTAGTTCAACCCTCCCTTCTTCTCCCACGTTGCTGTGTCTACCTCCGAATTACGACCTGATGGTGGGCGGGGATAGAAATGAGAAGCAGGGAAGAGGCATTACCTGCTATGGCTCATCTTTTTCCACTTGTAAATCATACATCCCATTGTTTCAAAGGGTTGTAATCATGGTTGGCATTTATAAAGCTTTTTTATGGTCTCAAAGCACTTGGCAATCATACGTAACTACACAATTATCTTGAGAGACACATCAGAGCAATCTTCATTTTGTAAACAGGGAAAATGAATGGTCACAGCGGAGTGTTCTGGTGAAGATCCGG